TATTTTCACATACAGAGAAGCTCGGCGCGGTTCTTGTTGAGAATAGATAGAGAAGGAGGATCAAATAGCGCGGTTCATGTTGTGGAAACAGTAGAGAAGAATGTCAAATAGCTTGTTTATTAAGACTCTCCTGATATGTATCTAAATGAGTGAAGCAAGTGCATGTGAAAGTTCATCTGGATTTACTAGTAAACAAACGTCCGTGCCATCGCAGCCGATATGGCAGCCATATGATGTTAAAAATGTGTCTCGTGATGTTAAATACTATATATATATATAGAGAGAGAGAGAGAGAGAGAGAGAGCACAAAAATGTGTTCCTGGCTGGAAGTGCAGTCTTGAATCAGCACCATCGGTTTTGTGAACAGGTGTTAGTCGGTGATTGCCTTGAAAAACATCCAGTACAGAAAAAAATCTAATAGACTAAGAATAATCTTTCAAAAATTCTAATGAACAGGCACAGTCTGCTATTAATAACTTCTAATATTAACCCCTGCTAAGTGGACTACACTGCAGTATGATTAAAATAAACCAGGCAAGTGACTGGCCAACTCGCGTATTCCCGCCAAAAGCCCGGGCAAGCTCCCAATAGACTGGTTATCCAGCTGTAGTACTAAAACAAATCACATTCGCGATGTCATGACTTTGCGATGGAACAATCAACGCGAATACCGCAAAAATAAAACCACCACGAACATTACAAGATTTACAGTACATTCTATCAACAATTTGTCACCAAATATATCGTACATGTACATGTACAGTCGTACAGAAAAACAGAAAAACTTACCCCATCACATTGACAATATAACCAGCTAGGGCTTTTAAATTGGTTACTTTGTTACTACGTGTATTTATAACAAATTTCTATAACCAATTGCTGACAATTTTCTAAGTAAACAAAATTCTATCTTGTTTCCTGGGAGCCTAGTACTACCAATTCAAAAAATAAAAGGAAAAAGAGGTGGAGACAGTCCTAGAGTTACCTAATTAGACAACCTACATTGTGATACTAACCTGTATTATACCAACTATACTCGTCTGGTAGCTAAGAAGGATAATCAGTTTCCAAGAACCTGAGGTACTGAAAGTTGACTTACAGAGTTTTCTTGAAGCAGCCCGTGGTGTTTCTGGTGGCTGGCACTCGTGGAGCGTCTTGAGACATGGCTGTGTCTGAACAGGTGGTAGTCACCAAATATCTACACACAGGGAAAAACACAGTAAAGAAAATTCATATGTGAGAGAGAGAGAAAAAAAACAGTTACACATGGAAAATAGTGACGGAATTCTCTGTACTTCTAATCAGATTTTTTTCAAAATATTTCAGGATAATCATTAAATATGATTTTTAAAAAAATTAGATAATGGGCTTGTCTGTGACAGATTATATTAAAAGTTTCTACACTTGTATTATAAATGTATAGTGATGTAAACTATGTCTACATTATATATTTATGCAGGTCCTCACT